CCCCTCCCAGCTCGGACGGCTCGGAGCAGCCCCCAACCCCTCCCAGCTCGGACGGCTCGGAGCAGCCCCCAACCCCTCCCAGCTCGGACGGCTTGGAGCAGCCCCCAGCCCCTCCCGTCTCGGACGGCTTGGAGCAGCCCCCAACCCCTCCGAGCCCAAACAAGCCCCCATCTCCTCCCAGTGTGTATGGGCCTCCTCAACCTTCGCGTCCAGGGCCCCAGCCTCAGCCATCACAGTCACCTGCCAATGTCACTCGTCCAGTTGTGAATCCCGTAACCCCTCCTAGCCCTTCGCGTCCAGGGCCCAAGCCTCAGCCATCACAGTCACCTGCCAGTGTCACTCCTCCAGTTGTGAATCCCGTAACCCCTCCTAGCCCTTCGCGTCCAGGGCCCCCGCCTCAGCCATCACAGTCACCTCCAGTTGTGAATCCCGTAACCCCTCCCAGCCCCGTGGAACCATCTTCACCCAGTCCCACAGAAAATCCATCTCTGGTATTGGATTTCAGCTGCACTGCTCCAGATCCGGGAGCTTCAGTCGCAGAAGACTGTAGCATTCAGGAGGGCCAGAAGGTAGTTGCTGTTCTGAACGACCTCCGAGTACAAAGAGGTCTCCCTCCCTTCGAAACATCGGCTGCTCTCCAGGCAGCTGTACGTCTTGAGCTCCTCACACTGGTGGGATGTGATGTTTGCAATGAGAGGAGTGACAGTTGCATCAAGAACTGCGGGTCTAAGCCAAGCAAACAGCGTCCCTTTTGTCGTGACACTTGCGTAGAGGAGTTTGATCTGTGCAGGGAGACTGAGTGTTCCCCTCTCACTTTCCTCGATTGTTGTTCTTGTTCTAATCCGGCCCGACCATCTGTCGGCAGGCAGTTGCAGCGAAGACCTAGTCCGGCTTCCTGCAGTCGTGTTGAGAGCAGACTTCCCTCTTCCAGTGCACAAAGGACTGCACATGACATCAGTAATAACAGGTCTGTGTTTGAACGGCGGAATAGGTGCGCGGCTTGTGCCACTGCTCGGACTAGGAACCAAACATTGGATGGGTGGGACTTCGTTACGCTCTGCAGAATTTGCCGAAAATGTTGAGGTTGGTCTGCTTCCACAGTCTTCCAGACTCCCCTCCGGACACCGTGTTGAATTGCACTCTAGTTTATCTAACCAGGTCGTGTTTCAGCGGAGGCGGAACCGCTGTGTGTGTCATTTAACTGCGCTCTGAAGTGCTGCCCCATGGCCGGACTTTGTTATGGCATTGCCCCTTTTTCATTACTTAGTCTATATATCTATCTATCTAGCTTGCTAGCTAGCTAGCTATGAGCTATCTTTTCTCTTCAGAATCTTCTTTTCTTCTATCCTTAGGAAAACTTCTCCCGACGCAATGCACATGTGCGCAGCAGACACGTAACTGAACAGGTCAAGTGCTTGAACTGTCATGGCATCAGAGGAACACAATAATGTTAGGTGTACTCTTTCCTTTTTAGTTTTTTTTTGTGCTTTTTTTTTTGTTGTTGTGCTTTTTTTTGTTTTTTCTCCCCTTGTGCTTGTTGTGCATTTCTGCAGTCACATTTTACCCGTTTGTGTTCTTTAAAACTTTTTTTTTCCATAAAAAGTGTGACAGACTGGAGATGTATCCCCAGGACCACAGATGACTGGACCGAGGTTATTCCGGATTTTTTTTTTTTTTTTTAATCCAGATGATTTAATTTATTATTGGTATTATTATAGAATCTAGATGATATGTCATCAGTTTCCTTTTCTTTTTTTGTTTTTTGTTTTTACATGAGTTCTTTCTTTTTGTTGTTTGTTTTTGTTCAAGCATCTGCTTTGGTGCTCCTACTACCGACAGGGATAAGTGTAATGAACCCAGTCTGGATTCTGGAACATATTCGTCAAATGTCAAAATACAAGGTAACTCAATGCTGAACAATGTCTCCAATAATCACGAATGCGATCTCTGATACAATATCTTGTATCCAACGGAAGAAGAGACGAGAGGGGGATTAGACAGTTTATGACCACAGAGGTAGTAGCCCAACAATTCCCTCTCCTTCTCCAGGCTTCCCCTCGCCTCCACGTCAGCAACAGTATCCAGTAGCGACCCTGACTGGGCCTGATCACATCAAAGTGCCACGTGGCACAGTGCTCCCGTGAAGACGTTCAGCAGCGCACAGTATCGACATCAACATCAGGTAAGTATCCACTCTCTTTCTCAATCATCCACAGATCCTGTTCTCCCTCCTTGTCGCATCCAACTCAGCAATGAAGACAGTGTGGCCGATGCCACGTCACCAATAGAGACAGGGTGCCATGAGCCACGTCAGCAATGTTGAATACAGCATGGCATGCGCCACATCAGCAGAGGCTCTGGCACCAAGACAGAAAGGCGCCAGCAAGCAAGTAGCAGTCTCGCGTCGTCGTCCACAGTGCCAGCGTCAAGCCAGCGCCGAGCCAGCGTCAAGCCAGTGTCAAGTCAGCATAGCAAGACTGAATGTTGACTCCGTGGAGGCCGGGCCTTGTGTAGTGTTTGGCGAGGTTGACCCGCCGCAGGTGTCCTACTCACGGTGGCTCAGATGGACTCGTAGCCGAGGGCCTGGATCGCATATAGTTGCAGACTTCCACGTGGTCCTCCGAATGTTGTCTTGGTACCTGCATACAAACAAGTGTGTGTGTCTGACCGGCGGCCTGGGCTGGGTACACTTTGAATTTGACTGTTCGGCCGCCGGGCAGTTGACCGAAGTCAACTGTCGGCCGCACAAGGCCTGAGGCCAATTCGAGTTGCGGCCTCAGACCGGGGTCGCGGCGTGCGTGTGCCCTGAGGGCCACTTCAGGGCATATTGAGTGGGATATTGCATAAGTCTTAGAGCAGAATGTCATGTTCACTGTAGGGTAACCCAGGATGGATGGCTCCGCAAGTGCTGTACTTCAACCGGGTAACCAGCTGGGAAAATGACCAGGATGTGGTGGCCCGTGGATAAAATCGCTGGATAAGCAGTTGTGCTGGATGAGAGCGGAGTGTGCGACTACTGCCTGTGTGGCGGATGCCTTGTGTGGTGTTGTGTGTGTGTGTGTGTGAGTTGAAGGACACTACAGCCATGCAGGGGTGGGGTGGATATCACAACCGGCACGAATCCACTTTTGAACACTGTGTCATGGCTGTAGTGGTTAAGAGACTCGGCTCTTGAGGCTGAGGGCGCTGGTTCGACTGAATTTTGCAGAGCTTATACTAAGGTTTATCGGCCACGGGCCGTGCTTTTGACCTCAACTGGGGCTGTTGGCCGTCCGATGTAAGATTTCTTTTACATCCGGCGGCTGTCGTTCGTTGTTGGACTTTGGATGGGCCAATGTGAGTCGTGCGATGGGAAACTGTGGTTTTCGAGTCGTGCGATGTAACTGAGTCGTTCGATTGCAAAGGGCGTGAGTTGCGGCGGCGTGTGCAATGTCGTTCTCCATTTTTTTTTGTTTTGTTTTCTGAATCCCCCCCCCCCCCCTTTCTTTCAGTCTTTCGAGAGACCAGGGATTGAATCACATGCAAGCCGCTATGCGGAACCCGTGCGGTTTTAGACACTTTGGAGGATTTGCACTTTTGCAGAAAAGGTGAAAAAAAAGGAAAAAGAAAAAAAGACTGGAAAAAAAAGGAGTCGAATGTGGGGTGCGCGGGTCAGAAACGTGCAGCAATGTCCGAAGTGTGCGGGCGGGATTGTGTCAGGAAAGATCTTGCTGACAGTCACTGGTCACGAGCGCGAAACCGGTGGTGGGCGATTCTAAGGTGTGCGATGTGAACGTCTGCTTTGTGAGTCGTTGGATGCAATGGGAGCAAGCTGCGTTGGGTTGTGGGCTCGAATCCGTTCTTTTGTGACGCTCCACTGAGAGTTCAAAAGCAGTTTTTCAGAAAAGGCAACAAAAAAAAAAGGAAAAACAAAGAAAGAAAAACAGACTTTTTTTTTTCTCGAAAGATGGAACTTCAATGCAGCCTGTCCGTTCTCGAGAAGGGCCCAGATCATCGCCCGAACAGTTCCCCCCTGCGCCACCCACCTACCCGACCTACATGCTCGCCAATGCGACCTGCCTTCACTACCCGATGCACCTGCTCTGCATGATCTACCTCAAGGCTTATGCGACCTGCATGCAGTACCGGGCAAACCTGCCCTATGCCACCTTGCGTATGCGACCTACCCTATGCTACCTATATGTGCTACCAGATGTCCGTGCCCTACCTGTCGGATGTGCCCACCCTACTTCGCTACGCGACCTACCTGCTGCTACCTGCCTTTCTCAGGGTTACAACCTTCGGGCTTTGCTGCTACTCTCTCTCTCTCTCTCTCTCTCTCTCTCTCTCTCTCTCTCTCTCTCTCTCTCTCTCTCTCTCTCTCTGCGTGTGTGTGTGTGTGTATGTGTGTGTGTGTGTGTGTATGTCGTCCATAGCTACCTCCCAAGAACATAATGCATCCGGATAATGAATGTATACAAACTAACTTTCCGGTTTAGTACGGGCAAGACGAGGGTGCGTTCATTGTTTGGTGTTTTCTTCGAAATCGGCCCGTTTGAGGCATGGGCCTGGGATGTCCTGGCATTGCCCAGTTGACGCCTGAGACGGCCTTTTTGGCCTTCACTAACTGCGGCCGGCTTCTTTGCCCTTTTGTGTTCTGCCCCTTTTTGTTCGCCCTTTGACATAAACATACATGTCGCTTTATTTTATTTCATTTTTCCTTCATTTTTCAGCGTCATGCATGTTGACATCTGGCCAACTATCACTTGGGCAATGATCGGCAATCCTTTCTTTAACCAAGATGCTAGTGGACGGGTACTCCAACATTGCAGTTCTCCACCCTCTCAAAGGGTATCTTCTTGCGATTCGAACTCTTGATCTAAAGAATTGGTGTTTGGCGGAACTGTGGCTGATATGAACTTTTTTTGTACTGATGCAGGGAAAGAGGAAGACGAAGCAGCAGCAGGGTACTCGAAGAAATAGGAAAACGAAGGGACAGAGCTCTACAGAAACGTCAATCTATTCAAAATGAAAAGACTTAGTTCTCAATCAGCAGCGATGGGTATCTTTCATCAGCGTCGGCAATTCTGGCAATGGACTTCAATTCTACTTCTCATGATTGTACTTGTATTGGAGTCTGCGGAGCTTTCATCAGCAGCGCAGCTGACGTCCAATGCAGAGGATGCAACTAATTTCCATGCAGAGCCAATCGCCAGAAACTGGATGTCTACAAGTGAGAAGAGAATAGCCTATAAGGAAAGATGGATTCCCTCCAGAAAGGAGAATGTGGACGATACTGAAGTGTGGGACGTTGGTAGGTTCCTTCAGGAAGATCCCACCCAATCTATGAAGTCAGAGGTGACGCCAACTGCAGAGAAATCACAGAAGCCCCTCACCCCAGGGGACTACAATTATGAGCCCCCGACCCCCAGCAAGTCACCTTATAGCCCACCCCCTCGCAAGTCAGAGGATACCCCAGCCCCTATGAAGTCAGAGGGTAACCCGACCCCTACCATTGCTACCAAGTCAGAGAATACCCCAACCCCTACCATTGCTACCAAGTCAGAGG